CCCCCCCCCAGCCACTGGCACCCGCAGAGCACAGGATGGTACCCGTCACATCTACCTTGTAACGGGGACCGGCAGAGGCATGGGGCAGCTCGGGTGACTCCTGCGTGGTGTGGGGGGCAGAGCCCTTTGCTTTTAAGACAGCGGGGGAGATGGCAAAGCAGCCCGAGTTGGTAGCGACTGAGAGTTGTTATTATCCGCCGGCATCCATGAAATTAATCCACAGCAGAGAAACTGCTTCCAGCTGGTGTCCGTGCTCACCAGGCACCCGCCAGCCGAAGGGGCTTCCCGGTAGCGCTCCCTTTGGGAGCCAGGAGGGCTGGCAGGGCTCCAGCTGCCCCACTGCCTCCCCAGCACTGACCCACCAGCTCACCCAAAGCTCTTCGTTAACGATAAATTATTCCTCCGGTGATTGCTTTCGGGTGGGGGCGTCAGATGCAGTTTCCCAAGTTTCACGTGGATCTGAGTGGTTTGTTTCCAGTGAGCTGGTTTTGCTCCCGCGGGCTTGGAAGATAATGTGGAAGGGGAGAAAAAGCGCCGAGGTCTGGAGATGCAGGTTGTCTCCTGGGAGGCGTTTGTCAGTGCCTTGCTAGAGAGGAGTATGCAATAAATGAGTCGCTCGCTTTAAATGAAGTGACTGTGACTGGGTAAGATGCTTCTGTGCACTCTATGTAACTGGTAAAAGCACCGCCGCGATTCAGCTGTTGGGATTTTTTTAGTTAAAGACATGAAAAGTATGTGGGTTTGTGGGCCCTTAAAATGCAGGGGCAGGGGAGGGGTGAAATAACCTCTCCACTGTTAAATAAAAACCCATCCTGTCCCCCTAATTTGGCATCTCTGCTGAGCTGTGAAACGTGAGTCTAAACCAGGCTGGAGGAGTGAAACTCATGTTGCACTTCTACTGCCACCGTAATACAAATTGCAAAAAATGGCTTGTATTTTGGGAGCGATGCCTTTGGCATGAGCCAGCAACGGGATAACTCAGTTCTTCCCTCGTTTATGCTGGTTCGCTTGGCCGATGCCAGTGGGTTTCTTTTCATGGATTTACACCAGCGTCAGGAATGAATCCAGCCCAAGAACGTCCTGGAAAGGCTATCTTAGTATTTCTTGTGGAAGAAATACCCACATAAAGCTGAATTAACAGCAGCAACTCGTCTCTTTGTGCCGTGCTCTGGTTTTAGTCGTGGGATCATAGGCAGAGAACGCAGGACGGACACAAATTCGTAGCAGGGGTGGCGTGAATTGGCCATAAAAATAATTCACAGAAAATGTCAGGCACTGTCCCCAAGACTCTTCTTGCTTTTGCAGGAACAAACGATGAAGTTGCATCATCTGGGGTTTTTTTTATGCCCTTGACCTGCAGGCAAGGGATTACAGCAACTGCACCCCCATCTTGCAACCTGCTGTGTGCGTGCAAGGGGGGAGCTGCTGACCCAGAGCCCGGGCAGCTCCGCAGCCGCTGGCACCCACGGAGCACAGGATGGTACCCATCACATCTACCTTGTAACGGGGACTGGCAGAGGCATGGGGCAGCTTGGGTGACTCCTGCGCAGTGTGGGGGGCAGAGCCCTTTGCTCGTGGCTGCTGTCACCTGCTGAGACCAGCACTCCCCATCTCATCTCACCTTCCCTCTCCTGGGATGCTCAGCTGGGGCAGGCAGGGGCTCGGAGTCACAGATCCTCTCTGTGGATGCTCCCAGATGCCGGCACAATCAGGATGTCCTGCCTGGTGGGGGGGGGACCCTGTGCATGGCTCCTTCCAGGCGGGTGGCTCCAACCAGGGCTCCCGAGTGGCCTGGGGAGAGGGTGAGCTCCACGGAGAGGAGGTACCATCCTGGGAGACTGCGGAGGCAGCCAGCCCACGGGGAGCAGCAGCCTCACAGGCTGCCAGGCCAGCTCTGCCCTACCTTTGCAGCTCTGCCTTGCACAGAAGGGCAGGCACGAGCCCCGGCTCCAACAAAAACGGTTTCTGGGGCAGGTTGTTTTTTCAGAGGTAGATGTTAAGTGCTGTGTCTTCACAGGGAGTACTTTTATTTTAAAACCAGAGGAGACAGGGTAGTTTTCACTCTGCAGGGCACCAGGAGAGGCCACGGGTGGACATATTTGCCATGTGATTTCAGATAACGTCACTGCCAGGTGGGGGAAAAAAGCAGGAAAAATTCATCTGCAAAGCAAAGAAAAACTTCAAGGAGTAAAAACATTTTGGCAGCTGTTGGTCTGGAGTCACTCAAATAAACTTTTCATACAGCTACATCCATGCAAAACTGCTACGAGGGAGGTTGAAGTCCGTGCCCAATTATCTAAAAATGACATCAAAAGGGTGCTCGATCAGGAAACCAGCAGGTCTATATTTGTGCAGCAATTGATGTTTGCTGAAGTCGCAGATCACAACTGAATACAACTTCCTGGCAACCTAAAAAGTCAAGTTTAAAAAAAAACCCACACAGTACCCCTCGTTTCCCAGAAAACTTTTTCGTGCTCTATCATCCTGTATTGTGGCCGTTTCAAACACAGCTCGGTACAATCGAAATAACTGCTACAAAGAGCTCGAACGATGCTACAGATTTCTGCCTGATTTTCTTTTAGGTGATACACGATTTATTGGAGTTTCTTGTGCTTGGTCTGCACCTGAGCCTATCTGCAAAGCCAAGCCTCTTCCCAACCATAGCGGGGATTGGGATAAGTGTGGGTGTGTGGGGTATTTAATCTGGTTTTCCTCTTTTTATGGGTGCGAGTTCCCTCTTTAGAGTAACAGCTCACCCTGATGGCAGCCGCTGTCCAAGGGTGTGTCGTTGGGAGCCTGGTGCATGAAAACAGATTTATTAGCAAGGCTTTCCTCTGAATTTTTGGAGCTCGTCCGTACTCACTCGCTCTGTCCTCACTCCCTTCTGGCCACGGGAGTGTCCAGCTCTGACTCCTTTCCATGCACGTGGGATTTCCTCATGTTATGAAACATGATGTCTGAGTTCCAGCCGCTCTGGTTTGTTTTGTTTGGGTTTTTTTCCCTAAGAGAAAAGGTTTCATTCAGCAGCTAGTGAGGCTGGGGGACGGTTGGGGCTCTGCCTTTGCTGTGCATCCTTGGGTTGTGCAAACGTGCAGCCTTTCCACAGCAGGGTTGCTGCTACAGACGGGACATGGAGGAAATCGAGTCTGGGGGGGGACAGTGGGGTTCCTGAGAGGATGCCGGAGGCTTTGGGGTTGGCGTCTCCTTACAAGTCACAAGGTTGGCGAGGTGTTTGTGTAAGGGGATT